TAATTAGATCTAGGTAAATAACTTACTAGTTATTGTCTATATTATTGGTTATACGTGATATCTATTACTTATACTTCTTAAATATTAACTTATAATTATACTATTACTATATAAGGTCTTATATAGACTTAGATCCTATAGAGTAACTTTAAAGAAGGTACTAGATAGTATACTAAGTAAATTAGTCTAAAGAACTCTCCTACTTATAGCTAGACCTTGCCAAAGCCCGTGGGCTTCTGAGCCCGGGCTATCCGGGCCGCTAGTCACGGGCTTCGGGCTTCCTTAGCGGCCCGGGCTTTGGCAAGGTCTACTTATAGCATATTTATTATAAAACTAAAACTAAATAGAGAGTAATCCTAAAAGATATACTATAGTAACTTAGATTAATTAATTATAAAGAACTAAATATATATATATAGTAAGTATCCCTTATATATCTATTTCTCTCTATTCTATAGATAGGAATCCTATCCTAATAGTAGAATAGGATTTCTGTCCTATTATTAAGTTAGGTCTATTTTATATAAATATATTAGATATTGTTATATAGTTATGTAGTAGTCTATAAGTCCTTATATTCTATATATAATCTAGTATATATAAAAGTATAACTATTTTCTATATTATACTAGTTATTATATAATTTATAATTATTCTTAATATATAGTTCTAGAGGTACCTTAAGTATCTATTATTATATATATTATCTCTCTCTTTTCTTAGTTCTTATTCTTAAGAATTTCTTATAATTACTTATCTCTCTTAGGTAAGTATTAATTCTTTTATTTTTCTACCTAATTTCTAATATTTTTCTAATTATATCTATTCTAACTATTCTAAAAGTTATTCTTATTATATTTATACTAATTATAATACTAAGTATAAGATACCTAATAAGATTTTTACTAATACTAAATATTATTATTTATTAAAGTCTTAATTTTTTCTTTATAATTAGGAAGAGAAACTCCTTTAGACTTAAAATAAGATTTTTACTAAATTAATATATCTTTATAAGTAAGAGAAATTATTATATAAATATATAGGTAACTTTATTACCTATAAATATAAGAATATTACTAAGTTAGAGAAACTTAAGTATTTTAAAGCTAAGAAGTTATAATACCTTAAAGATAAGTATATTAAGTCTAAGTATAAGACTTAGTCTTCATATACTATTATTGAGAAAATTAATTGTACTTTAGTAGAGAACTATTAGATTCTTATAATAATATCTAAGAATTTTACTCTAATATAGATAATTATATTAGTTAGTTCTGTATTTAATACTAGTTTTTATACTTTTTTTACTTTTTCCTTAGTAGTATCTATTTTACTTTTTAGTAATACTATTAAACTAGTTAGTAGTAACCTCTTAAGTTTTTAATAGATTCCTATATATTTTATAAGGTAAATTATTCTTTTTATTTTATAAGAAATTATTACTAACTTTTATACTATCTATCTTATAGAATTTTCTTAATTTTATATTTTTCTTTACTAATTTTATTAATTTTAATATTAGTAGTATCTAATATATTTTCTTTATATTTTCTAGTAGCTTTAAGTAATAATTAACTAGTTCTATTTTTTCTTTAATTTTAAATAGTGCTAGCTTTAGATAGTTAAGTTTTAAATTTAGTTATTAAGTTTTATTATTCTAATATAGAAAGTATACTTTTTCTATCTTTTTTAGATTTAGTTTCTTTAAATAGTCTTAGTTATAGTAGTACTTTATCTATAGATTAAAAAACTTAATATCTCTTACTAATTAGAGATATAGTTATTTAAGTTCTAAGACTAAAAGTCTTAATAATTCTATCTCTACTTATTTTCTAATAACTTCTCTAATAATTAAGGATTATATCTATAGTTTATAAAGAATAGTATTTTTTTATAGTTATATATAGTATTATTATATATAAATTATACTAATAATAGTAATTCTATCTAGTTATCTTACAAGTAATTTATATTGTACTTTAGGTATTATTCTAAAGTTTAATTTATTTACTCTATTTAACTATTTATTTAGGGATATTAGGTAGTAAAGAGTCTATACTTAATACCTATAATATCTATAAATAATTTATATATTTTACTTATAAAAAACTTATCTCTATCTAATATTATTTTCTTAGGTATTCTATATTTAGTAAATATATATCTAAATAATAAAGATATTATAGCTTTAGTATTAATTATTTCTATTATTAGTATTATATATAAGTATTTTGTTAATTAGTCTATAATTACTATAATTATATTATATTCTTCTAAATTTAGTAGTTTAGTAATAAAATCTAATATAATCTATTTCTATAGTTATATTAGTACTTCTAAGTTCTATAATTTACTATATAAAATATATTATAATAGTTTATTTCATTAATAAATATTATATTATCTAATATAGTTTCGAATCTTCTTATATATATTTAGGATATAGTAGTTTATTAATAGTAACTCTACTATTTTTTCTACTCTTAAATATCTATATATAAGACTATTATAGTATAACTATATTTTTTTATTATAGCTTCTATAGTATATAGATTAATCTATCTTTATTAATAATTCTCTTAGTAGATTCTATTTTATAGATAAGATTATTAATCAGACTTTCCTTTAGCCTATTAATCTATTTATTATTCCTAACTTTACTAGTAGTAACTAGATTCTAGTAATTATATACTAAGTAGTTATTATTATCTACTCTAAGTATTATTAGTATAGTTTTCTTAACCCCTATTATATAATTAGATCTTTTATTAAGTATATCTACTTAACTATTAGTTATACCTAGGTAATATTTAATTCTATAATTATATCTTACTAAGATCTCTACCTATCTTACTTATTATCTTATTAGTTTATTTATACTTATAAGAATATAAAATTTTTATAGTCTAATTTAATAAAAATTTAATACTTTACTTTTTCTAGATATATTCTTTAGACCTTAAGTACTAATACTATAGTTAGTAGTTTTTTATTATAAATATTATAATTAAATTTGAGACCTAATATTTCTCTAGACTAGAATACTACTAGTCTTAACTTTCTATTATCTTCTAGTTAAGTAAACTATACTCTAAGTAGACTGCGGCACTAACCGCAAAGACCGCGGTTAACCTAAAACCTAACCAAAACCGCAGCGGTTTTGGTCTTCATATCAAAACCGCAAATTTTTGCGGTTCGGTTTTGGTCTTCATCCCAAGACCGCAAAATTTTGCGGTTCGGTCTTGGTCTTCAAATGAAAACCGCTGCGGTTTTGCGGTTAACCGCGGTCTTGTAAACAATACAAACATGCTAAGCCTCGTGACCTGCTGGGCAGATAGATTTTTATGCAGTTTTTTTGGTAATTTTGTTGTTTTAGTCATGTATGAGAGCTCTGACTAATTTTCAGGCGAAGAGTCATCTCCAGGATATACGGAATACAGAGACTACAGAACAAAGAAACTGGATAGAAGAACAAATCAAGAAATATAATCTGACAGTATTTAAGCTACAAAGGCGCCAGTTGGAACCCCTCTGGCATTTTAGGCTTCTTGCGAATCCGCGTCGCTCGCTGTGTGCCTTCGTGTTCCATTTGATCCTCCTGCGAGCTAGTACTTCCAGAACGCGCTCGTTTTTGTGTCTCTCCTGATGGCTCCTGTCTATCTTCCTCCTCTTCCTCCTCCTCCTCCTTCTCTCCTTCCTTCTCTTCAATATCGCTAATTGGATCCAATGCTGGAAGAGGGGCTATTGATCCTCTGTCTTGTTCAATCATCGCTGCCTCACCCGCTAGTACAAGCTCTTTTGTAAAGTCAATCTCTCTCTGTTCAACCTCGAATTTTACAGCACACAATTGCAGCATCAACTCCTTGATAGTATCAGCGTTAAGGCGGCCCCGTCTGTAGTGACAAATATCTCGAGCACAGTTAAAAAGACGCTCAACACCTGCGCCACTCGCAGGAATTGAAAGAATATCCCGGGCTAGAGCAGCCAGCACTGGGAACTCTTTTTGATGCTCCTTCCAGAATAAACAGGGCTGTTGTGAAATAAGGCCTAGATAAAATTAGTATCTGAGATAGGCAGACAGGCAATTAGACTTACCTTTTACAAGATATCGAGCCAGTTCATCATCATCCTCCTCTGCTGGTACTTCTGCTGCATAAAATGAAGTCTGTGAGTCACACAGCATCTCAATCTCATTAATATCACTGGAGTTCTGCTGGACATTAGAGGATGATTCTTCAGCCTGATCTGAAAATCGCCGTTTGTATCGCCAGAACTCTTTTTCAAGACGCCCACGATATCTTGCACCAAAATCAATATCCCCTTGCCAATCTTTTGAGGTAAAGAATCGAAGTTTCTTTGATGGGGTAAGAATGGTAGCAATACCATAAAGATCCCTATAAAACTCCTTATCAGTTGCTTGATAATACTCAGAAAGCTTTTCCCTTACCGCCTGCAATGCCCTCAGCATTGATTTCTTCCATGGGAGTCTCTTTCGGCGAAGCTGGTTCTCGGAGTTCTCCAGGTGATTGAAAAGCTTATTGTAAACACCAAAGATAAGATGGATTGTGGTGTCTTTTGTTTTTGAGAGAGCAGTTGTGAACTTGAAGAATGGCTCAGTGATACACAGTAAGTAGTCGATCTGACGCTATTCTTCTTTGTCAAGCTGAAAATGGAGATAGCCGTGTGCTGTACAGTATTCTTGAAAGCTCTTCTGTAGTCGCTTGGCTCGGCCGAGCATCAGAAATGTAGAATTCCATCGAGTCCGTACATCTTGAAGAGGAAGCAGTTGAGGCTCCTGGGACTGGATTACAAGAAATACAGCTCGGCGCTGAGGACTTGCATTAATAAAGATAGCAAGATTTCGGATCTACAGATAACTATTATTAGCTGTTATCCTCTCTCTCTCTCTTTTTGCTGAATCATCACATACCTTGTTCAATGTCTGGATAATCTCTCTTTGATTGCTGAGAACGCGCCTGGCGCTCACGGTCATCTGACTATCCATCCTCTGCCTCATTATTGGATGGCATTGCTTTTATTTTTCCGAGAAGTTGATTCAGACTCAGTTGGATCACATGGGCCAGGCATGGAACACGAAATATACCATTACCAAGCCCGTCACTTCCAACACCCTGACTTTTGAGCTCATCCTGAATACTGAGCATCATTGTATTGTTATTGGTAGCATTATCAGTTGTTACTGACAGAACCCGATCGGCAATTTTATACTTTTCGAGAATACCAATAACTACTGAGCTTAGGTTACTCCCAGTATGTGAGCCTTGTAAGGGTTTAAAGCCAAGTAGAGCCTCTCGATACTCCCAATCGTTATCCAGAAAATAACCAGTAATAGCCATAAAGCCCTGCTGGAAAGGTGATGTCCAGCAATCAAGTGATAGAGATAGTCTACTATCCTCTGGGAGCATATCTATTATACTCTGTTGTCCTTGTTGGATATTCGAGTGTAGTTGTCGGCTAATCGTCCGGGAGGGTAGTTTGACCCGTGAGGGAGCAACAGCAATTAGATCAGCTAATTCCTGGAATTCTGGACGATCAAGGATACGGAATGGGAGCCGTGCGACGAGGATAAGAGAAAGGACTTTCTGGGCAAGCGTTTCTTCAGAGAAAGTAGTTAAAGTTGCTCTTGAAGTTTGTGACTACAAATTATAAGTTATTAGCTAAAAGCAGTATCTTAAAGAGAGTATATATACTTACCTGCTTCGCAAGTAACTTGCCAATCCCATGCTTTGGATGACAGGTATTCCCTTTCAGATGTGTGTTCATTGGTGATGTTCCTCCACGCCGAATATTTGGATGAGTAAGTGTAGTAAGGCAACGCTTACACATAACTTTAGGCTCTCCTGTCCGTTTATGAGCTACTTGCTCAAAGTGATCCCAGACTGAAGCTCTCTTTTTGTGGTCCCAATGAATGGTGGTCTCGATGTCTTTTCTTGTGCTATACTCTGTTTGAAGCCACCACTCAGTGAAATCCTTCCGAGTTTGGCCTGTTGCGGGGTCCATTTCTACAAGGATCCAAAATCGCTGAAGATGTGGCCCAGTACGTGTAAGGAATAAGGGCGCTCGCGGTAATTGTAGTTGTTGAGAGCAAATGGATGGTGTAATTGACTCGGTGGCAGTACGACAATATGTATTGAGTGATGGTAGGTCATCTGGTAGGAGAAAGTCAGTATCAGAATGCTGATCGGTGAAGACTGATGAAGTATAGGCCATCTTTGGCTATGGTCTTAAGAGCCAATATGTGTAAATGAGAGACAAACAACTTACAAGATTCGACGAGAGGACCACAAACACCAGACGCGACCGAGGACATTGATGAGTTGCAAAAGCAATTATAGAGTGGAGTCAAAGATATACTCTAATTGGATATTAGAGCTACTAATGCGGTTATCCTGCGGTTAACCGCAAAGACCCCTCACAATAACCGCACTAAGATTACCGAAAACCGCAAAAACCGCAAGATAACCGCAAGATAACCGCAAAATACCCCTGAAAACCGCAAAAACCACAGGATAACCACAAGGTAACCGTAGCACGACCGTAAGATAACCATTTATCACTGCAACTTTGCACTTTTAGGACACACTTTTTTAACACTTTTATATTGTAATACTAGATTAAAAATTATTAGGGATAGGTAAAAAAACTAGCTCTTTTATAACATATGATCAAAATTCAGAATACTTAAAAATTAGTCAAGTTAGGCTTTTCATGTTCTACTGACCTAAAGATGCAGCATAATCTCTCTAAGTCAAATATATATTTCTGCGATAACTATACTCGATTACAAAAACTAATCACAACACACAGTAAATCTCGCCAACAATATCCAAAATCCAACTTCGAACTTGAATTCTTTGTAGACTAATATTTTATCTTTTAGAATACCGCTCTATTTCAAATTATTTCCAACAGAAAGTAAGAAAAATAAATGATTACAGTAGTAATAACGAAACCATATGTAAGAATGCATTATTTGTGCTTAGTTATCAGGTGTATAAAAACGGTGGGGTGGCTTAGATAGGTAAGATCTTCATCTTTTATGCTAGTGCGGTTAACCGCAAGGTAACCGCATTGCGGTTTTGGTTAACCGTAAAATTTGCGGTTAGGTTTTGGTAAAGATCTTAGAACCGCAAACCGAATCGATTTGGGTTTGGTAAAGATATGAAAACCGCAGACCAAATCGATTTGGGTTTGGTTAGCATTTGAAGACCAAACCCAAAACCGTGCCGCAGTCTAACTCTAAGTATATAATCTAATATATTAATTTCTACTATATATAGTTTATTTAGATTAACTAGAGTAAGTATTATTTATTTAATAAATATTTTTTTAAAATTATTAAATAATTTTTCTAATAAGTTATTCTAGACCTATTTTTATTTCTTCTTAAGTAATTACTAAGATTAACTATAACTTTACTAAATCTATTAATTAATTATTAGTAGTAGTTATATAATTCTATAAACTATTAAACTTCTTTTATATTTTCAAGTATTAATTAGTCTAGAATACTTCTAATCTTATTATTCTATATACTAAATCTATTTTTACTAATTATATATTCTAGAAAATCTATTTCCTTAATATAGAACTTATATTCTTTAAGTTTAAATATAACTTTAGTTTCTCTAAGTTTCTATAGTATTTTTTTATTATACTAAATATATTTCTCTATAATCTTAGAGAATACTAGGATATTATTAAGATATATTATTATAAAGATATTTAGATATTCTTCTAATATACTAAAGATAAATTATTAAAATACTATAGATATATTTATAAGTCTAAATAGTATTACTATATACTTAAAATATCTATATTTTATTCTAAATATTATTTTTTTACTTATTACTAGATTTAATTCTAAGATAATTATATATATTAGTAATATTATATTTAGTAAAATAGATATTTTTCTAGATATAATCTTATATCTTCTAGATAAGAAATAATAGATATTAATCTTTAATAGTAATATTATTTAATTATTAGTAGTCTATATAAAATTAAAGTTTATTTTCTTTCTTTAGTATAAAAATAATTAGATATTTAATTAATAATAATAAGTACTAAATATATTCCTTTTTAAGATTTTCTTTAATATATTCTCTTAAGATTTTTATTTTAATTAGTAATAACTAATAGATTAGCCTAAAGGTTAGTTTCTTATCTTTCTTAAATCTAATCTTATAATTAAATAGACTATACTTTAGAAGTATAATATTCTTTAATAACTTAAATATATTCTAGTATTTATAGTACTTCTTAAGTATCTATATTTTTTTTCTCTATTATATAGAGAGTTTATTATCTAATATATCTAGTTACTATTCTATTATTACTAGAATATTAATATCTATAATCTTTTCTAGTATCCTATCTCTAGATTATTTACTCTACTTAGAGTTTACTTTATATAGATTATAATAGATATCTACTATTCTAGGACTAAGTTCTTTAGTATTTAGTAATTCTTCTCTAGTCTATTTAGTTTCTATCTATATATAATTATAATAGTTAAAGTAAATCTTATTTCTTTACTAATTAATTCTTAGACTATACTAGTATAACTAAGGGATACTAAGTATTATCTTATATCCCTCTAGATTTATAATATTAAAGTATATCAACTCTAAGTAGTTTCTAATAACTATATTAATCTATTTAATATAGTAAATAATTCCTTTACTTAGCTTTTCTCTATTTAGTCTAATAAGAGAAGTAATCTAATTTTTTTAATAGTTAGTACTCTATTAGTTAAGATATATTTTTAAGTCTATAAAGTTCTTTATAGTTCCTAAATTAATTATATTTTATATACTAATTTTATTTCTATTATAGAATATTATTAGTACTTCTACTTTTATATATCTTTCCTATACTATTACTATAAATTATTATCTCTACTCTAGATATTATATTTATAGTAATAACTTAGATCTAATCCCTCTATAGTCTAACTTACTTCTATATATATTTTATAATTATAGTTATAATATCTAATTATAGCTCTTAGGTTATAATTAGGGTATTATATATATCTAATATAAGTATAATTTTCCCTATAATATAGGTATATTTCTTTTATATTACTAATATATAGTTCTTTATTATCTAATTTATTAAAGAGAATTCTTTAAAGATCCCTAGAGATTATACTACCTATTTTATAGACTTATTATAGTTTCTATTTCTTTTAATAACTTATCTAGTATCTCTCTAGTAAAGTCTCTAAGATTTTTATAATTTCTTAAATTTCTTTCTTAATAAGGATTATTTAGTATTATAGAAATTCTTTAACTATTTTTAGAAATTTATTATTTCTAAGAGACTCTTAAGATATTCCTAGAAATTTATTAGTGTGAATATATAAAGATTAGTTAAAAGACTTAACTATTCTCTGGTTAAATATCTTAACCAGAAGCCTTATTAAATATAACTATTATCGTTAAGCTTAACTAAAAAGCCTAACTATATGATATCAAAATATCAAAATATATTTCAGATGCTTGGAGTTCTGCCAAAAGCCCAAATAGGCCTAGCCTATTTGATCACACCGCTGATGAATAATATTCTGCCTAAGGCCTAATCAGGCCTAGTCTACTATGGCTTACCGCCCAGGAAATTTAACATAAAAAGGGCCTGCACCCCCCAACAAATCTATCTTTATTATCATTCTTATTGATCTCTTTCATCTCATCTTGTGATTACTAAGCTCAAGACCAATATTCTAATACAACTTCCTCTTTTGGCAATCGGTGAAGCTATTCAAACATCCCCTGATGCTTGTAGGACTTTATGTCTCACAATTAGTTATTTCTAGGAACTAGAGTAGAGTTTTTAGAATCTCTAATATTCCTAAAAGTCTATTTATAGCTTCTAAAACCTATATACTGTATTTTTAAGTCCTGTTTACTAGTTTCTAATAGTTAATAGATTCCTAGATATACTAGATCTACTCTTAACTTTCTACTATATTTAGGTTAATCTATAGATACTATTTCTATCTATTATACTCTATAAGCTAGGAGTTAACTAAAGTTATATTAGTTTTCTATATAGTCCTAAGCTCCTATTTCTTAGACTCTATCTTTTACTATTACTTTTTTTATTAAATTTACTTAAAGTATTAATAATTTTTTTAATTCTCTCTTTATATTTTTTTTTTTTAGATCTAACTAATCTCTTTAAGTACTTAGTTAATTTTATTAATCTCTTACTTAGATAACTTTTTCTTATTAGTATATAGTAATAGCTATTTTATTATCTACTAAAAGATGGGGAATGCTCGTTGGCTGTCTGTCAAGCAGACGGGTCGATCACAGAGGGACAAAAACCACCACACACATAGTGTGTAGGAGAGTAGGCAAGGCGATGACCACTGAGATATAACCTTCCAAGGTATCTGAGCTATAGGCAGTGTACCGATACTGCTACTGCTGTAGGAACTGAAAGGACAGAATAGTGACACTTCGGTGGGATGTTAAAGGTATTGACCGGTGTACTATGGCGTGCACTATATACTCTTTCACTATATAAGTGCCTTATTACTAAGGCACCCATCACATGACCCCCCTAAGACTGAATACCCCACTACACTACTTATTTTTTTATCTAGGTTTCTTCTAAGAAATTTACCTTAGATTACTCTTTTTCTTAGATAATATAAAGTTACTATATATTTTCTATTCTAGTAGTATTATATACTCCTCTTTCCTAAGTTATATATAATTATTATAGTTTTTTATTATCTTTTTTACTTTAGTAGTCTTTTATTATATAGTCTAATTTACTATAGTTAAAGTATAGTTAGTTATCCTTCTAATATTTCTATTCTTCTATTAGTAATCTTACTATATTAAGTTTTATAAGTTATAAACTATATAGGTTACTATCCTAATTAGATTATTAATACTATTACTAAGACTAGTTTTATTAATAGTATAAGTATCTATAGTTTTATCTCTATTCTTCTACCTTATATTTCTATATCTATTAGTTATAGAACTAGTTATTAACTTAGACTATAAAGTTAATAAGTTTATCTATTATCTTAGATCTATCTTATTATACTAATCTATTCTTAATATATAATTTAAGTTCTTTATTATAGTAAGAAATTAATATATAGTTATCCTATCTAAAAATAGTTACTTATTATATAAATTTAGTAGTATAAACTAATACTAATATTATTTATTAAAGTTATTTTAGCTTTTATTTAACTATTTTCTTAGTATTAATATTATTAAATATATTTTCTAGATATTCTCTAAACTTAAGATAATGAGATTTTAGGAGTGAAAG